ATCCATCAATTTAAGTGGATGTTAAAGTCCTTTACTATTATTGTATTACTATAGATCACTTCCTTTATGTCTGTTAATAGGTGCTTTATGTAATTGGGGGCTCCATGTTGGGTGCATAAATATTTACAATTGCTATATCTTCGTGTTGGATTGTTCTCTTTATCATTAAATAGTATCCTTCTTTGTCTGTTGTTACAATCTTTATTTTAAAGTCTGTTTTGTCCAATATAACTATTTTTACCCAGGCTTTCTTTTCACTTCTATTTGAATGATAATGCTTTTTCCATTCCTTCACTTTCAGCCTGCTTGCATCTTTAGGCTAGAAGTGAGTCTCTTTCCGTAATGTGGCTATTGTTGATAGTGCTGCTATAAACAGTGGGATGCCTGTGCCCCTTCAAGACAGCATTTTTATATGTGTATTGACTGATAAATTGATAAAAAAGATATGAGATATATATACATATATACATACACACACAACGTAATATTATTCAGCAGTCAGAATGAATGAAATCTTGCCATTTGCAACAATGTGGATGGAACTAGAGTGTATTATGCCAAGCAAATAAGTCAGAGAAAGACAAATATCATATGATTTCATTCATATGCGGAATTTAAGAAACAAACTAGATGAACATAGGGAAAGGGAAAAAAATGTAAGATAAAAACAGAGAGGGAGCAAACCATAAGAGACTCTTAAATACAGAGAACAAACTGAAGGTTTCTGGAGGGGAGGTGGTTGGGGGAATGGGCTAAATGGGTGACAGACATTAAGGAAGGCATTGATTGAGATGAGCACTTGGGTATTATATGTAAGAGATGAATCACTGTGCTGTACTCCTGACACAAATACTTCACTGTATGTTAATTAACTTGAATTTAAATAAATAAATTTAAAAAAAGAAGTGAGTCTCTTAAAAGCAGCATATAGATTGGTCTTGCTTTTTTATCCATTTGGTCATCCCATGTTTTGATATGAGCACTTAATCCATTTACATTCAAAGTAATTCTTGATAGGTATGTAGTTATTGCCATTTTGTTACTTGTTTTATGGTTTTTTGTTGGTTTGTTGGTTTGTTTTGTAGTTCTCCCTTTCCTCTCTTGCTCTCTTCCCTTTTGGTTTGTTTTCTTTAGTGATATACTTGGAATCCTTCCCCTTTATTCTTTGCATATCTCTTACAGTTTTCTATTTGTGATTATCATTAGGTTGATATATAAGATCCTATGCATATGGCAGTCTATTTTAGGATGATGGTCATTTAAGTTTGAACCCATTCTAAAAGCACTGAATTTTTACTGTCCCCTCCCACGTTTTATGTATATAATGTCATACTTTACATCCTTTTATTTTGCTTATCCTTTAACTGATTTTTTATATATATGATTTTACTGCTTTTTTGATTTAGCTACATTGGCTTTATAAGTAATTAATCTACTACTTATTATGTTTGTGTGTACCCGTGAAACCTTTTCATTTTGTAACTTTTTTATTCTTGATTATGGCCATTTTCTTTCCAGTCAAAAATTCCCTTTAACATTTTTTGTAAGGCTGATATAGTGATGAACCCCTTTAAATTTTATAGGGGTTCTATAATTAAATTTAAATTTAAATAATCTAGGAAACTTTTATTTCTCCTTCTGTTCTGAAGGATAGCATTGTTGGATAGAGTATTCTTGGTTACAGGTTTTTTTCTTTCAGCATTTTGAATATATCATGCCACTCTCTTTTGGCGTACAGTTTCTGCTAAAAAAATCAGCAGATAGCTTTATGGGGTTTCCCTTGTATGTAACTGTTTTCTTCTCTCGTGGTGCTTTAGGATTATTTCTTTGCCATTACTTTTTGCCATTATAATTATTATGTGTCTTGGTGTGGACCTCTTTGCGTTGGTTTTGTTGGGGCTCTCTGTTCCTCCTAGATCTGGATGTCTATTTCCTTCCTCAGATTAGGGAGGTTTTAACCTATTATTTCTTCAAATAAATTATCTGCCCCTCCCCTTTCTCTGTCTTCTTTTTTTGGGATACCTATAATATCAGTGTTATTGTGCTTGATAATGTCACTGAGTTTCCTTGAAATATTCTCATTTTTTACTATACTTTTTTTTCTTTTTGTTGTTCAGTTTCTTTGCTTTTTATTATTCTGTCTTCCAGCACACTGATCCATTTTTCTGCTTTCTCTTATCTACTGTTGATTCCTTCCAGTGTATTTTTTAATTTCAGTAATTTAGTTCTCTATCTCTGATTGGTCCTTTTTTATATTTTCTGTCTTTTTGTTGAAGGTTTCACTGAGATCCTCCATTCCACTCTTTTTTCGCATCCAATTAGTGTCTTTATGACCATTCCTTTGAATTTCTATGAGGCATATTTCTCATCTCCAAATCATTTTGTTATGATTTTGTCCTGATCATTTGGGATATATCCCTCTGTCTCATTTTGTCTAAATATGTTTGTTTCTATGTATTAGGAAAGTCAATTATATCTCTTGAAAGTAATGGACTTATGAAGAAGAGATCCTATAGTGCCCTGTAGTGCAATGTCCCTTGTTCATCAAAACCTGGCACTTCAGAGATGTCTCCTATGTGTGTTGCATACACACTACCGTTGTGGTTGAGCCACATTTTCCTTCACTCCAGTCGGCTAGGTGGTCATCTTTGTTGTGGGCAGGGTTTGGTCTCTGTGCTATTATGAGGATAGTCTGGGACCACTTTGTGCGTGTAGTTGGGTCAGACCAGTCGCTCGCCCTCAGCCTGTTATCCAGAACTGTAGTTGCGCTTACCTGCAGGCTGCTATCCCTGGATTGTCTCCTGAGTGGCTTTTTTTGGTGAGTGAAACCTATCAGACCAGATGTCTGCCCTCAGTCTGTCTGTTTGCAGTGGCGCCCCCAACTACAGGGCTTTCTCTTTGTGCTGCCCCCTGTGAAGTTTTTGTCAGTGGGCAGGGCCAGCAGTTAGATCAGATGTTTTCCCCCAGCCCACCGCTAAGGCTGCAGTGGAACTGACCTGTGTGATTATCTTTCCCTCTCACCAGAGCAAGAGTCATTTTGGAGTGGTGCTGGCCACTGTCAGGGCTGCTTGTAGAAGGCGCTGCATCAGGCATGACTTTGGAAGGATTAAGGCAGGTTGGATGGGGCAGTCTGCAGGAGAATGTGGGGGCAGGGCACATAAGTGTTATCAAGGTAAGTGCTCATCTTCTTGGAGGATGAAACCTAAGCTAGGTACCAAGTGTTCAGGCTGGTTCCCACAGATGTCTGGCTATCCATGCTGGGGATAGATGGAGATAATGGTGCCCGCCAGCTCTTTTGTTCTTGGAGAAATTTCTTAAAGATTCCTGTTCCTCTAGCACACATTCTGACATTAGTAAATAAATTTTGCTGATGTACCCCAGGTGCTTTTCAAACTGCTGCTTCTATGCTGTATCTTGTCAAAGTTGTGTGCTGTTTTGTTAAGGGTGGCAACTGTTTCCTGTCACCTTCTGGCTCTCCTGGAGCTGAGCCCACTGATTTTGAAAGTTCCCAGTGTTAAAACCCGGTGATTGTGAAAACTCAAAGTTAAGAATTTCTGATTTTCAAAGCCAAATGTTATGGGGACTCATCTTCCCAGTTCAGACCCCATATGTCTGGGGTGCCTGGTGTGGAATCTGTCTTCCTCCTTTTCTGTGCTTGTGGTGTCCCTCTGGTATTTGTGGTTAGTCTCACAGGTTAGTTTGGCTCCCAACTGGGGTTCCACCCTTTCTACCATTTTTTTATGTGGCCTCCTTTCCAAAATTAACTGTGGAGAGTCTATTCTGCCAGTCTTCATGTCATTTTCTGAGTTAGTTACACTGATGTGGCTGCTATCTAGGAGTATCTGTGTGAAGAGGTAAGTTTAGGATCCTCCATGCCACTATTTCATAGGTTCCCTAAGAAATCTTTTTCTTTTGACTTATTAAAGCAGTTACTTTGTTCGTTGGCCTTTGTATTTAACTATTATTCATCATTCCCTGATGGAAGCTATTTTCTAATCTAAATTGGAAGATGTTTATCTTTATTCCTTGAAGAAGGAATTGTTAGTGACTATCTGGTTCCTGGTACAGAGTGGATGCTTATTTAAATATTTATTAAATGAACCTACTCACCCAGTAATCATCATTGTTAATCTGCCTTATTACTGTGTACAGTCATGTACCTTCCTATGTGTTAATTTTATTCTTATGTCATAATTATCATAAAGCATTAAGTGTGAATCTTTTATTCAAGGTTGGAATCTGAACTAAGTGATTTCTTCTAAACCATACTGCTGGCATAACTAGGAGAAGAATTTAGGTCCTCCTAGCTTTGATTTCACTATTTCTACCAATAGGTTTCTTTCTGCCTGAAAAGTATACAAGTTTTCTGTTCCTGCTGCTTGGCCATTTGTGTGTGTTCAGAGAACATTTGCCAAAACAAAATAAATTAAAAAAAAACAATTAAAAACAGTAACTAATGCTCCCAGTATTTATATATAGGCCTTGACCCTCAGATATCCAAAATAGGATATTGAATATTTTGGTATCAAAATTTATCCAGTGAGAGATATGGCTCTCCTAAAAGCAAGTTACCTTATTTACTGTCTGCAAATTGAAAAGCAGGTGCAGCATCAATATAGTAATTGCTCAGAGACTGGAACTTTGTAACTATGGAGACATTACCTCACAGTGTTCTAACAGGCAGTGTTGGCCAGATGTGAAAGTTATAGTCATAAAGGTAGCCTTCTGGGTTGCCGCCCTGCCTCTTGAGCTGCTTCAAGTGAATGTTACACACCTTCACCCTGATTTGCATCATATCATTAGCCAATACCAGTATTGGCTATGTCAATATTTACATATTTACATTAGAAGCCTGGCTCTGGCACCAGTTTGGGAAAGAAATTATTTAATCTGGCATATGCTTTGAGGTAGTTAGATTAACTGGTGAGGTCACTTGAAAATAAAGTCTACCTTCAAATTCAGCTATATTTATTCCTAATATCATGATTTTTTTTCCCCAGGAAAGAAACGAGACTTTTCTTCTAGCCAAGATGAAAGACATGCAAGCCAGTCAGAAAACTTCAGTGGCCCTGCAGAGTGAAGTCCATGAGCAGGAAGATAAAATGGAGAATCAAGCACAGTAAGAATGGCATAAGTGAGAGGAGAGAAGGATCTGAGTTTTAGAGGATAATGAGGGCGTACTTGACCTTTTCTTTCAAAATATCTTATGAAGTAGTTGTAACTAGAATTGATTCCACACATTTTTCTAAAATTAACTATAACATACAACTATTTCCCCAACCACTGTGTTATAAAGTACAGTCTTGAGTAATACAAAAGTTCACCTGTACAGATCTCTATCATATGAGTCATGGTTGAGACTCCAAAACTTATATCTAGCGTGTTAAGGAAATTGGCAGATAATTTCTTTAGAACTACTTTACTGACCTTGGGGACAAAGAATTGATAGATAATTTTGGTTTGGAAAATGCCTGTGAGGATGTGAAATAAAAACTGCAACTCAAAAAAAAGAAAGAAAAACAAAAGCACCACCACCAAAAAAAAGAAAGAAAAACAAAAGCAAAAAACTACAACTCCCTGTTTTTACTAATTAAATCATTCTATCAATTAGAGGATTAGCATAGGTTTTCCAGTTTTTTTTTTAATGGCCTCTAGTATTGAATATACCCAATTTAAATACCTAAATTTTTTTTAAATAGGCTCCATGTCCAATATGGGGCTTTAACTCACGATCCTGAGATTGAGAGTCATGTGCTCTACAGACTGAGCCAGACAGGAACTCCCTGAATATACCCAATTTAAAGCTAATGTTATTTCGCACCTAGGTGTCCTGTGTTTACTGTTCAGTTCAAGTCCATTTTTTAAATGGTCATCTGAGGTCATCTGAGAAATGATTGGTGTCAGTATTACCAATGTAGTACCCCTTAAAATAACATTGAAATGTGGGAATTGAACTTTTATAACTACCTCTGATTTAGTGCTAATCAATCCCAGAGGTAACAAAGTACTAACAAAGAGCTTAGAAAATTCCATACAATAGAGGCAAAGCTAACTAAGCACTAGGACAAATCCCTTATCTTCCAAAAAGAGTCTAACAAGTCAGGGAGTACAGGGTTTAAATAATGTATCTAGACATGTGTCTCTTCCTGAAATGTTGGAGCCCTTACAAAAGTATGTGCACCTATTAGAAATTTCTTATTCAACTACAAAAATAAGAATACTTTGTGGCCCTAGGCCAGATTTCTTTAATCACAACATTTGCAAAAGCTTATTAGGAATCTTCTGTGGAATTAAATTATTCCAAAATGCTATTGTTTTACTGGAGGAAGAAAAAACTTTGAAGCTTATAAAATGAACATGCTGAAAAGATATAGGCAGTTTGTAATGAAACCCAGATAGATGTAAGGAACTTTGAAAGAGAAAAGTACTTTTCCTGCTTATTCTAGCTAGTATCAGGCAGAAATCATATCATATGATCCTGTCTCAGGTTGGACAGAGACGAAATATTTTTAATTTGACAATTTACCTCTATAGTCTCCTTCCCACTACCCACCACATCATAGACAAGAGTATATTTTCATGGGTTAGAGCTTTTATGACAAAGAAGAGTGCTTAGGATGTCAGCAAAATGGCAAATGCTCAAGCTTAACATGTATTGGGCTAGTAGTACAATTTTCAAAGCCAATGCCATTTAATTATTTAAAAAAATTAACTAGGATGTCTGTGCCTTCTGAGAGGTACATTTAGAAAAGTCTGGTTTTGAGTACAGAACTCTCCAGATACAATATTTCTGATGAAGGAGCTTACAAATTGCAGAACAAAATTATGAATATATCTTGGCAAACAAAGAGATTAAGACTGATATCACTTTGGTGGATTAGGAAACTTCAGGCCCTTGTCCCCTTATGAAAACATTTGGAAAAAAACAAAAAACAAAAACAAACAAAAAAACAGAAGACTTGCTAAAATATCTTCATAGGAACTCTGGAAAATAAAGAGATCAAAATAGTGACAATCCATGAAGGCAAATACTTAGCTCTTGACTAACAGAGGTAGATAAGTGGCCCCCAGTAAAGGGGTGTATAAGCTGACCATTTACCAAGTTTTTCAGAAATCTAAAGGATTTTGGACCCCAGGACTTTGTTGATAATTCAAGTATTAAACACACACACATGCATACACACACACACACAGATTGCTTTGAGGTAACTAAATCTCAATGTGACTCATACAAAGTTTGTCACAAACCTTTTCATGAGTCGTGCCATGGGAATATTATTTTACTTGTAAAATAATTGTGTTGTAGTTTAGAGGCTTTGTTTAAATGCACACTAGTTAATAAATGCTTTATGCATTTAAAAAAGAAAGAAAGGAAAATCTTTGTTCATAGTAAGATTTACTTATAAAAATAATACTGGCAAATTAAGTCTTTCTTCTCTCTCTTTTCTATATTCCCCTCAACACACACACACACACACACACACACACACACACACACACGTACACATGTGCTCTGCATTTATAGAAATTAATTTTCAGACTATATTTGAAAGTAGACATTAACTCTAGAATTTTTATAATTAGAAATAGAAATAGAAAGTTAGTTAAGCAACAGGAATTGAAAGAAAACGGTTTAGTAAACAATGATATATTAAACAGGTATTATAATCATGCTTTTTAAGCTAATTGAAAGGGAAATATTATGTAACAAGTGATAAAAGTGGGATATAAATGGTTTATAGAGTCTCAATTTTGAGTTAAAAAGAATACACTAGGGGCGCCTGGGTGGCGCAGTCGGTTAAGCGTCCGACTTCAGCCAGGTCACGATCTCGCGGTCCGTGAGTTCGAGCCCCGCGTCAGGCTCTGGGCTGATGGCTCGGAGCCTGGAGCCTGTTTCCGATTCTGTGTCTCCCTCTCTCTCTGCACCTCTCGTTCATGCTCTGTCTCTCTCTGTCCCAAAAATAAATTAAAAAAACGTTAAAAAAAAATTAAAAAAAAAAAAAAAAGAATACACTAAAAGGCCTGGAATTAAATTGTAAAAATTTTGGTTGGTGGCATTTTGGTAACTTTTGTTTTCTTCTTTTTACTTTTGTACGTTTTCAAAATCATCTACAGTCACAATTTACTTTTTAGGTAAAAAAGTAAATAAAAGCATGTCTTGAGGCTTAAAGCATCTTACTTAGATCGCTAAAACTACAACTGTAAGATGTCCTTATGCGTACAAGATGTATAATTCTTTTAAAAAGCAGAACTCTGGGGGCGCCTGGGTGGCTCAGTCGGTTAAGCAGCCGACTTCGGCTCAGGTCATGATCTCGCGGTCCGTGAGTTCAAGCCCCGCGTCGGGCTCTGTGCTAACCGCTCAGAGCCTGGAGCCTGTTTCAGATTCTGTGTCTCCCTCTCTCTGACCCTCCCCCGTTCATGCTCTGTCTCTCTCTGTCTCAAAAATAAATAAACGTTAAAAAAAAATTATTAAAAAGCAGAACTCTGAGTAGTAATCATAGTTCACGATTCTTAAGTTTGTATCTATTCGTTTTGACTTTCTTACTTTGTTTATTATACTATTTTATGTGCACAGAAGAGAAGACACACATGATGGTCGCCCAGTGACACAGCGATCTTTAGTACATTTTTTTCCGCAAACAGATTCAGATGCCACACTGCCTTTGTCACAGTCATTAACCTATGACACACCTCTCAGTTACTATATGTCTGACCCTCAGTTTAGTGGAATAACTGTATCAACAACTGGGCAGAACACTCCTAAAACTACTATAGAGGGCCATTCCCAATCAGCAAACAGCTTGGGTAAGTAAAACATGTATCAAAAATTTTAGACTATTTTTTAAAGCATGCAGTTCAATAGGTTTTTTATGTGCCTAGAAGTCAGAATGATGTGTTATGATTTGTCTCCAATAACACAAATCTCTTAATGTCATATGCAGAGTAACTTGATTATCCTTACCATTGATCTTAGCACTGGAGTCATACCCAGGTCACATAAATGTATGTGGCCAGATGTATCATCCCCATGATTAAAATATCTTGAATTGTCATAATGTTCATGGGCTGATGGCTGAGGTGCTCTAGAATTGCTAGATGAAAATTCTAATGTGTAGCATTTACTCCCCTTCCTCTGAACACTATCAGAAAGACTAAGCGATGTCTTGTGTATTTGTGCCATTAGAAGACTTATGGCTTATGTAAGGAAAAGACAGATAACAGAAAGAAGCAAAATAAATGGTAACAAAACGGTGGAGAGAAAAAGAACAATAATGAATTTGGAGGAGAAGAAAACAGAAGCAGTTCTATAACAGGAAAAAGTCAGGTTTTGACAGTTGCCAACACTGTAAACAATGCACTTTAGCACAGCATGTTTGTTTTTAAACAAGTGTAGGGAACTTTGAGGGTATATTAATTATCAAGGTTTACTGAAAAGACCATGGTCTTGGAAACAGAGGACCTAGCTCTAAACTATATTTCTACTTCCTGCACTGGGAGATTTTAGGTAAGGGTATTTAACATCCCTGAGTTCCATTACCCACAAGTGCAAAATAGGGATGAAAATGTCAACTTCACAGGGCTGGCCTAAGAATTAAATAAAATATTTATGAAAATTACCTAGCATACAGTAAGTACTAAATAAAAGTTAGTTGTGAATCTGAATATATCTACAAGCACCTTCTCATTAAATAGGTTAAATTTGGGGTCTGTATTTCAATTACCAGTCAACAAGTTTCCAAACTGGTAGCACAAACACACCCATGACTCTTGATGCCTCTGTTTTCCTCTATTACTCTGTGGACAGTTAAGCCTGGCTGCTGTTTATCTGTGTTTCATTTTGTTTCTGATATTTTCCTATTTCATTTGGGGATTTCACCTAATGCCATTATTACCTATGCTTCATTGTTTGTATGCCTAAAATATATTTTTTACAAAGACCTCCTAAGATCACACTGACCTTTAGCAGTGACCAAAATCCATACACTCAAAAGTGAAAATACCAACTTTACATCTAGGGAGGGAATATTTTTCCTTCTTTGTCACTGTATCATCATGGTATATGTCCTATATTTGGATTAAACTGTGCAATCTTTTAGTATTAGGGGGAAAAACAAAACATAGTGGTTTCCCCTTGCAAGATGAGACTTGAGCTGAGCTGTATTCTTCTCCTTCAGTTACCATAGATTCAACTTCTATAGATAGATACCTGGGTTCCTTTCTAGATTAAATAACAACTGGCACTAAAATTAATCTATCTTCTTTCTTTTTAGAATACAAAGATAATGTATAATCTCCTTCCCCAAAGAAATTTAATGATTAAGTAAATACTCACTTGACTGGAAATGAACTAATTGAATTCCATACATTGCTTCTAGACAAAATACTTTGAGGAATTCTTTTTAGGAACTACGTGTTTACTCCTTTCCATCTTTCATCTTGTTTTGGCTTTGTTAAAGACACAAGAATATAAAGCAAACTCTAGATTGCCTTAATCCTTTGATGATTTTGGACCCAGTGTCACATTAACCAAAGTCCCTGAACTACAATAATTGCTATCACTTACTGAATATTTGCTGAATACTAGACACTGTGCTAGACAGTTATCTACATTTTCTTCAATCCTCACATTGCCTTACACAAGGTAGTATAATTTGTGTTCAGGAAAATGGAGAATTAAAAAGTTTAAATCCATTGGCTTATTAAGTGGCAGAGCCTGGATACAATTGCAGGTCTGTGTAAATACAAGATATTTTGTTCTATCCACTCCATCATGGTCCCTCTCTGAAGTGTTACTCTCTCTGCAGACACGATTAGGTTTACTCAGCATGGTTCTTTCCATGCAAAATCATAATTTAAAAAAAACAAATTTCCAAGAGCATACTAGAGTCTGATTAAGCATTACTTTATCTTTCTAATAAAGAATTTTAGTTCATTAGAGGAAATTTAAGTCTTTACCTGGCACAATTACTAATTGTTGGTAGGAAGGATTCATTTGAGGTTTTAATTTATGGGTAATAATTTGGGGAGGATGGCTAATATGAAATAAAATAAAGTTGTGTTTATATATAACATATCCAAATTTGAGAAACTCAAATGTTTTACCCCCTGGAAAGCTTATGATGCTTCTAGTACATACGAAAGCTTATGATGCTTCTAGTATTTAATAATCAGTTGAGTAAAAGTCATTATGCCAGTGATATTATTGATAATTTAAGATTATTGAAATAATCTCTAGAAATAATCCTGAACCATGAGATTATTCTAAAAATAATCACTAGTTATTTTATAGACTTTGGTTTAAAGCTTTTAATTATCCTCATTGAGTTTGACAGTGACCGTAAAATGTATAAAGAATATAATTTCGTAGAAGCAAAGAATAAAGATAGCAACTTTGGGTTCCTTTAATGTCTTTTTATTTATTTCTCTCTCTGTTGCTTTCCTCTTTGATTTCTTTCAAAGGAGTCAACAGCTTCATAATGACAACGAAACAGCCTCTGTCAGTCCTTGCTCCTGAGACAGCTGTAACTGGGGAAGGAGAAGATTATTTCCTATCCTTGTTTGGTGATTCAAAGAAATTTGCTGCATGCTCATTCCAGGCAGAGAACACCCGGAAGCACTTTTCCATGATTCTTGAAGAAGTGGGCCAATCTAGATCCAGGTACGTATTCTATTTGAACTATTTAATATCTTCTCTTGGGATAGAAGCTACTTTATATCAGTAGAGAATTTTATTTCTTTTTTCTTAATGTTTATTTATTTTTGAGAGACAGAAAGAGTACAAGCAGGGGAGGGGCAGAGAGAGAGAGGGAAACGCAGACTCCAAAGCAGGCTTCAGGCTCTTAGCTGTCAGCACAAAGCCCAGTGCAGGGCTGGAACTCCTGAACCATGAGATCATGACCTGAGCCGAAGTCAGACGCTTAACTGACTGAGCCACCCAGGCGCCCCAGAAAATTTTGTTTCTAATCTGTTGTTACATCCATGATTTCATCTAAAACCCTAAACAGCTTGTTGAAATACAACTGTTTCACGTTCTGAACGATAAGAAATCAATGTAACTTTCTAGGGAACCAAACAAGGATGCTGATTTTTCAAAGATGCCAGAGAAAATAGCACTGCATAATCCCTACAAATAAAGTCAATTATATTTTTTTTATTATTGGGAAATCATTCAGATGGATTTAGTATCTTTTTTCTCTTCTACTAGTCTCTTGAGTTCAAGATATAAGGAGAAAGGTGGACTTATTCCTTGATCCATTTTTATGGTTGTTGGTATCTGGCAAAAAGAATTATCAGGATGAAAGTTGATATTAGAACTGAAATAAAAGAGTAGACTCATCTATACATTTACTTAACCCTGATTTTCTTGTTCCTTAACAACAGATTGAATTGTGAATTATTAGTAATAAACACATGTTGACAGAGGGTGTTAGAAGGCTAAAAGAAGTTGTTAGCCAGGTTTGATGATCAGACATAAAGGAAACATTTCCCCTTAGGTCACATTTCCTAAAATCACCCACTATTACCATTCAACTGTAGTGAACACCTAAGTGTTCTTTCAACCATCCAAAAACACTTCATCAAATTGTTCATTCAGTATCTATCTACCATGTTAAAAATTTTGTTTGGGGCAAAAATTCAAAAAAGACTTGTGAATACGGTTTTAAGAACTTTCACTCAGGTATATCAGAAAAGAGCTGCAGGTGTAAGGATTGAGAGAGAGGCAAATAATGTATCAAGGCATTTAGAGGAGAACTTTCTCCCAGCCAAGGATGATCTGGGAAGACTTTGTGAAGGAGTTATCATTTAGAATTATCTTAGAAAGATAAGTAAATTTGGGGTATGCAAATTTGGAGTCTTTGAGAACATCCTAGATCACTAGTTCTCAACCCTACCTACACAATTGAATCACCTGAGAAGTTTTTAATGTCCTGATCCTACCCTAGACTCTGAGTCAGATGTTCTAGTGCTGGAATAGAGCATGGTATTTTTTTAAACTCCATAGTAATTCTAGCACACAGCCAAGGTTGTGAACCACTATCTTACTTAGAGCAAAGGAACAGCATAAACAAACTGAAGGAGGCAGAAAAAGCTAGGATCTAGGAGATATAAGGCATTTTACAGCATTGCTCCACTGAGCAGTGTATCAATTAGTGTAACAGGGCTGTAGGGGCCAGATTTGGGGAGTGATCACAGTGAGCCTTGAATACCAGGCTGAGGAATTTGATCTTCACAATGGGCACGGGAAGCAATGGGAAAATTTCAGACAAAGGAGTAACAGGATCATGATTCAGAACGTTTAATTGTGGCAATGAATATTATGAATGAATGTTGGAGTAGCATTTTGTCAAATGCTTTTTATGCATCTACTGAGATGATCATATAGTTTTTCTTTCTCAATGTTAAAGCAACCCTGTGCTCTTAAAATAAATCTCATTTGATCATAATGTTAACCCTTTAAATATATTGTTGACTTTGATTGGCTAAAATTTTGATTCAATTGTTTACATCTATGTTTGTGAAGAGTATTGGTCTGTAGTTTTCTTCTGTAATGAATGTCTTTGTCTGCTTTGGCATCAGGGTATAACTTGCCTCATAGAATGAGTTAGGATATAATTCCACTCTCATTTTCTAGCTGAGTTCCTGTAGGATTGATTTTTTTCTTAAATATTTTATAGACTTCATCAGCAAAGCATTCTGGGCCTGAAGTTTCTCTGTGGGGAGGTTTTTACCTACAAATTCTATTTCTTTAAAATAGATATCAGTATATTCCAGTTATCTGTATCTTCTTGAGAGAACATGAATAGTTTGTGTCTTTCAAGCAATTTGTCCATTTCATCTAAGTTGCCAGATTTATATTCATAAACTTGTTCAAGATATATCCTTATTACCACTTTAGTATCTATAGAATCTGTAGTGATGTAACATTTCTTGTTGCTGATACTGGTCAGGTGTGTCTCCTTCCTTTTTCCTCATCAATCTTGTCTGAGAGTTATCAGCTTTATTAAACTTCTTAAAGAACCAGTGTTGGGGCGCCTGGGTGGCTCAGTCGGTTGAGCATCTGACTTCAGCTCAGGTCATGATCTCGCGGTCTGTGAGAACAGTGTCCAATATCTTGGAAAACATCAGTTCATATAATTTCTTCTAGATTCTTAGTTGTTTCAGGTGAGAAGTCAAATACAGTTTCTGTTACTGAAACTCAGCTAGAAACAGAAGCCTCTTCTCAATTTGATTGTTTTCAGTAAAATATGCTGTTTATTTCCTGCTATCACTCATTATCTCTAAGGATGTTTAATATATTCCAGCAGGAGGAAAAAATAGTAGACAAACAAGAAACAAAATGAAGAAATTATTAGAATTTTCACTAGCTATGCATGATCTTTCTTCCTACCTCTAAGACCATATATTAACTTCCAGGTCAGTTCTAGATGCCTCAGGAGTGACCAAACTACATTAAGAAGGCTACCTTCCCACTCATTCTCATTCTCTACACTTCCCTAGGCAGTTGTTCATTCTGTAAATCTAGAATCAGGATGGTAGGAAGCTGTGGGCCAAGATGGGCCTCACCAAGATAACGATAACTACATGAATAGTTTTTGTCCCAAATAGCTTATAATGTTACAAATCTGAGAGCTTTTCTCTTGTAATAGCAATGAGCTAAATCAAACTCCCTGAGTCTTCCTAAGTTTGTCTTCTAAAAACGTATAGGTCTTGGGGCGCCTGGGTGGCTCAGTTGGTTGAGCAGCCGACTTCGGCTCAGGTCATGATCTCATGGTTTGTGGGTTTGAGCCACCATTGGGCTATGTGCTGACAGCTCAGAGTCTGGAGCCTGCTTCCGTTCTGTCTCCCTTTCTCTCTCTCTCTACCCCTCCCCTGCTTGTGCTCTGTCTCTAAAATAAATAAACATTTAAAAAAATTTTTAAAAACCTTATGAGGTCTTAAATACTGTACCCCTTCATCAAACCTCCCACAGCTATAAACATAGGTGCCAATCTGTACAGAGAATTGTTAGGTAGGTGTCTATTGGAAGAACTGACACTCTAAGGTAATTTTAGCAAATTTTAGAGTTGTAGAAACCTTAATGTAGATAAGTAGCATGAAGCTATCAAGAAGAACCTAAGAACTAGATAAATCAGGGCTTAAATAATGGAAAGTGTTTGTTTTTTAAAAAGTTACATAGCCATATGTCTCTTCAATCTCTTTACTAATCAGTCCCATGCCAAGACTCCTGAAAGAATGATTGGTACATTTTACACTCTCAGCATATCATGACTTATAAGCAGAGGTCTGAAGTCACTTTTCTACTAAAGAAAAGTGGGAAGGCTTATTGTAAAAAGAAAAAGATAACTAGTAAATGCTGTGTGATAGCAGTTTAACAGCCCTGCCTCTGTGAATTTCTATGTACTGTGTGAAGTATTTTCCTATAGCTTTTGGCCAAATATCAGAAGGCAGGGAAATGAAGTGATTAGCCCTAACATGGGTGAAGTTATTTTTTCCTTCAGACAAGCTAATTTATTCTATTTATGTGCATAAAATAAAAATTTAAGATCAATGAATGAACAGTTCACGTAAATAATGGAAGGTTTTTGAAAAGCAACTGTGCATATTCCATTATGTGTATGATAACAAAAGGATAACGGAACTATTCTAGGTTCTTATCTGTTTAAAAGCAAAACTCAAAACAGTGCTCATCTCCCATGCAAAAAAAACAAGTCTGAAAAACAAAAAGGCATCTTGTCAAGAAATTAAAGTATCTCACAGAGAATTCAGTAACAGTAGGATGAGGATGACATAGAGGAATTCTAGGCAAAGAAGAGTAAAATGTTATACCAACAATTTAGTAAGAACCATAATGGTAATGCAAAAGAAAAAACAGGTATGTAAATTACTCAAAAGTAAACCTCTGCAAAACAGCCATTCTCATATAATGCAATGGAAGTATGAAATTAGACCGCTATTTTTAAAGCAATTTGGTAGTGCATATTGAGATTTCATGGATGTTTACATTCTCTGTTCTCACAATTCCTCTTCTAGAAGAGGAAACTCAGAGTGATAGCCTGACATTTTAAGCCATTTTCTCCTCAAAACAGTTGCTAATTTGAAACCAGCAGCTAAGAAGCTGAGAAGTTAATCATATATTGGCAGTCTCATAAGACTAGGTGAATAAATATTGAGATTCAGGGCCTGTCAAGAAGGAGGACCATTGAGGGGCGCCTGGGTGGCGCAGTCGGTTAAGCGTCCGACTTCAGCCAGGTCACGATCTCGTGGTCCGTGAGTTCGAGCCCCGCGTCAGGCTCTGGGCTGATGGCTCAGAGCCTGGAGCCTGTTTCCAATTCTGTGTCTCCCTCTCTCTCTGCCCCTCCCCCGTTCATGCTCTGTCTCTCTCTGTCCCAAAAATAAATAAACGTTGGAAAAAAAAAAAAAGAAGAAGGAGGACCATTGATAAACAACCCAGGCTTTCAGGTGGAACCTCAAAGGGTCACCCAATAGTAAGAATTTACAAGGCATATAAAATGACAAAAGTTGACCAAAAACTAAGGTTAAAAATGGACATTAAAAACAGGCCTAGGTAGGGGCACCTGGGTGGCTCAGTGGTTAAGCGCCCAACTTCAGCTCAGGTCATGATCTCATGGTCTATGAGTTCAAGCCCCATGTCAGGCT